TTCCCATGTCACAAGGTACTGGTCATCTTTCTTCTTGCCCCATTTGTACATTGGACGGCTAGCAATGATAGCCTCGATCCTCCGCCCATCGGATGCCTCTCCTTGCTCTTGGCTTAAATCTCCCCATGACTCAACCAAGTCTAGCAACTTCTCAAGAATCGGGTCCATGCTTCCACTCCCTATTTGGCTGCCCTCCGTTGTCCCAGCCTCGCTAGCAAATTTGACCCATCTTCTTGGTGCATCGTCTAAGTCCAATAGCGTGCCATCACTTTGTAACTCGCCATCCTCTTCAACTACAACCCCAACTTTTCTTGCTGCCACCATACTCCATTTACATGACGCCAAGATAGGCTTTGGAATCCCTTACTTTAGGCTTAGATTACAAGCACATCCCCCCAATGCAGGTCGTCCCTCCTGTGTCACCCTTGGGTGCCTGAGCAAAGTTCTCGATCATTGTTGTAAGCTTCCCCAACTATGGGCATTCACTTTCCTGATGTGATCCTTTACAAAACTAGCACCCTCCCTTAGGCACGTACTTCCTACCATTTTCCAGCCCCTTGTCATTTCCCTTGGGCCCCTATCCGTTATGGGATGGCCTCTTGCCATTGCCCTTGTATATTTTGGCTATGCCTTTCCCGTTGTCCTTGTCATGATCTCCCCCACTTCTCTCGGTGTTGCCTTTTTTGGACTTGGCAGGCTCCATCTTGAAGTCAACAAGCGACTCAGCTACCGCTATGATCTCGCCCACATTGGCTATTTGACGTCTTCTTAACTCCTACTTTGCCCAATTTTGTGACCCATCCATGAAGTAGAAAAGGGAATCTTCCTCGGACAACGATGGGATTTGCAGCATTAAGGTAGTAAACTCGTGCACATACTCATGAATTGTGGCCGTCCGTTAGAGCTCCCTTAGCTTCCGCCTAGCCTCATACACCACATTCACTGGGTAGAATTTCTTCTTCAACTCCTTTTTAAATTGCTACCACATCTCAATCTTGCATAGCCTCTTCTCAATGTCAGCACACTTTCATTGCCACTATAGTACGTCAATATCTGAGAGGTACAACACAACAGTGTTGATCTTGGCCTCGTCGTCTCTCACTTTGTCGTGCATGAAGTAGTTCTCCAAGTGCCAAATAAAGTTCTCCACTTCTTGTGCATCATGAACACCTTTAAACACTGGCGGTTTGGGAGCCTCGATCTTGGGCTCCCTCATCACAACAACATTAGTGTCTGCCTCGGTCATGCCAGCATCGACAAGTTCCTCGAGTGACTCTATCTTTGCCTTCATAGCATCGATAGTACTCAGGGCCTCCATGAGTCTGCATTCCAAGGCAGTGATGGTTTGCCTTAGCTCCATCTCAGTATATGTACATCCCTCCAAGTCATTTCAGATACTCTCAATCTCCTCAAGAGTGTGTCGCCCAAGAATACTAAGGGTGTCTTCCACCTTTCCCAAACATTGGCCAAAGATCTCGACGACGTCCATCCTTGTGTTCACCTTCATCACCCACTATTTACCGAGCGAGACGTCCTCCGGTACGACCTCCACTCCATCCTCGCTCACCTCAGTGGCACATGGTTCATGGGATGTAAGCCCCTCGTTTGGCACAACTTCGGATGGAGCTGGCTCTTGTTAGTGGCATTCCTCTTTTTGTTACGGCCATTCTTGCCAGCAGCCCCTTTGCTTTGATACCACGTTGTCACGTCCTTAGTCTCAAACTAAGTGCACGTGTGGAACTTGACAATTTTCTCACGTTCTTGCACAATTCGCTCACGATCTTGCTATGCCAAGTCAGCTTAAAATACTACACTCAAGATTGCTAAGGGAATGTTAGATAAGAAAGACGAGAAATTTGCCAAATGAAGCTTTTTATTGTAAGGAACTTGATTATTTCTTGGTGTATTACCAATGAATGGCCCCCTTTATATACTAGTCTCCTAGGGGCTAGAGCGTAAATATTAATTGTTACACAAGTCCTTAATATTTACCAGATAAGGGCTTTCTCTAGAATTCTCTACAAGCCTAGAAGATTCCAAGGACTTTCCTAGTAAATCCATAGGGATCTAGGGTCTTCCAAAGGAAATGTCCATAATTCTCTAGAATATTCTAATAAATGCTAGCCTTTCTCCTATGTAAGCTTCTACATGGCATTAATGTATGCCAAGTGGCACCTACACGGCATGATGATATGGACTGCCATGACCAATATGTGCCAAAGTTCATTATGAACGAAGTTTTTTCTTGATCCTCCGGATTCATTTTGATTTGGTTGTACCCGGAATAGGCATCAAGGAAACTCATCAACCCGTGCCGGGTCGTCGTGTCAATCATTTGATCAATGTTTGGCAATGTGAATGAGTCTTTTGGGCACACCTTATTTAGATCCTTTATAAGCTACGCACATGCGAAATTTATTATTCTTTTTTGGAACTACTACTAAATTTGCTAGCCATTCAGGATACTTTACCTCCTGGATTGAACCAATATCAAGCAATCAAGTTACCTCTTCTATGAAAAACCTGTTTCTGACATCGGCAATATGGCATTTCTTCTGCCTTACCGGAGGGATGTTGGGATCTAGGTTTAACTTGTGCACGACCACCTCTAGCGGGATACCTGTCATATCCGCATGCGACCACGCAAAGTAGTCAAGCGGAATTTCCTCTCCATGAATTTCTCGAACAATGCGACTTGTTCGAGTTCTTCGGTTGTGGATTTGGTTGCGTCCGTTTCTTCTGGTACCTAGAAATACCTCGGTACCTGATAGGATATCGATGACGACCCCACCCCCCTTTTTGTCGTCTAATGGTAGGCTATAATCTTGTGTTTTAGTCACTTATTACACTCTAATTTATAGCACTTTAATTGAGTTTAAGCTTTAATCTCTAGTGTTGTGCACTAATTATGTGTTTAATGCCTTATAGGAGTGATTTTAAGTGATGTAAATGTAATTGATTGAATTTGAGCTATTTGGAGCTTTGAAGTATGAGTAAAATCCCAACGGATTAAGCCAGGATCATGTTCGGGGGTCGAGAACCACATCTGGTATCAAAAAGTCAAGAAAAAGCGGACTCTGAGAATTTTCCACACCCGCGACACATGGGGCCGCGCGTGTGGTGTCGTGCCTGTACATTTTTGCTGCCTTTTGAAAGTTCAAGCTACTATATAGGCTCCACTACTACGCCGCATGGCGCGTCACCCCATGCGGCGCGCCTGTGCATTTTTTACAAAGTAACAATCCAATTTCGGCTAGGAGAAGGTGGTTTCGTGTGGGCCCGACCCTACTTAGTATAAATACATGTAAAACATTATTTTTGGGACTTTTGACACATCTTATACCTAAGGTAGCTAAAGAGGAGGTTGAGAAGCAAAAGCACAAAGAATTCATCATTCAATCCTCACTCAAGACACGACTTTGGATCATTTTATGTTTACTTTAAGCATATTGTTGATGAATTGCTTTGTATCTATGGACTATTTCTCTTAAGGGTTTGATGGATTTGGTGTATTGATATATGTTTGTGGATTATAACTCTAGTTTTATGTATTGAATCGTTTTGGATGTTTTAATAATTGCATCTATATTCACCAGTTCATGTAATCGAGAGAGTCATAACTTGTGATATCTTTGCATTATATTTGTCTGTTGAATTCATTAATTCTTCTTAGTAATCGGAGCAGCCTAGTTGAATTGTTATTAAACCTAGTTAGGAGGATAATCGAGAGAGGTTCTCCTAAATACCAATCCACTACGAATTCTTGCATATCTTCACGTGCTTAAATTTGGTTCATCTTGTGAGGTTGAGACTTAAACGTGTGAATTAATAATCAAGTGAATTCGAGAGCTCACTTGAACATTAGAAGTGAAATATCTAGAGTTATATCCCAAACAATTATCTTGCACTTATTCCATCAAAACCATGTTTTCTCCCATTGATAACCTTCTTTGCTTACTCATTATTGCAATTGTCATTAGTCAGTAGTTAGACTCGTAGTTAATTTTAACTTTTAATCACATAAATATCAATTGTTGATCATCTTGGATAGCAATCTAGCTACAAACTACGATAATATTGTTTAACTCCAATCCATGTGGATATGATATTATATTTTACTATATTCAATTAGCAAGCATATTTAAGTGTGTGTTTTGTGCTCGTCAAATTTTGGCGCTGTTGCCGGGGATTGGCAATTAATAGTGTTTTGAAATAGTTGGTAGTGCTAATTCAGGAATTTTTTCTTTATTTTATTTTTCACTTTTTACGTTTGGGTGTTCCTTCATTGCGCGCAGGCTACAAGTTAGATTGGTGCATGACTCGATCTTCTAGGAAAGAATTGCTACCATACGAACCAGAAATCGAGAAACAATTGTGACAGTCGAGGAAGGAAATAAATCTCCCCGAAAATAAAGAGACGGTCGGGCAATTCTCAACCAAAGATAATATGGCTAGAGATGATGATAATGTAGATTTGGCTGCGAGAGAGGAGCCCAGCAAAGAGAAAAAGCTACACGGGACGCTAAGGAAGCAGCTATTAGAGATGCCCAGATTTTCTATGAAGATAAGAGGGCTTGGAGAATTGCTCAGAATCAGCCTTTGGTTCCAGACCAGTTCGGAAACATAGCTTCTGGTGCTGGGAGACCACTTGGTGATTGTGCTAGACTGGTCTACAACAAAGGCATATCAAGTGTGAGACCACCTCCATTTGCGGCTAACAATTTCAAGTTGAAGCAAGGGTTGCTTCAAACCCTTCAGAATTGTTGTGTCTTCAGAGAAAAGCCAAACGAAGATCCAAACAACCATCTAATGGACTTCGAGGAGATTATGAACACCTTCAATACAATTATGTTTCACAAGATCCTGTCTACTTAAGGGCATTCCCCTTAACACTCAAAGATGATGCAAAGCACTGGCTTCAAAGCTTGCCCTAGGGGTCAATTAGAACATGGGAGGAGATGACTAGAAAATTTCTTGATAAATATTTCTCCTCAGCTAAGATGGGCAAGTTTAGAAGAGAAACCCCTAACTTCTGCCAGAACGAGACTAGAACTATGTTTGAAGCATGGGAGAGGTTTAAGGAGGTAGTATGAAAGTGTAAACATAGCGAAATTGAACTCTAAATGCAACTCCAGGACTTTTGGGATGGATTGACACCAGCCTCATGTAGAACATTGAGCAATGCAGCTGGAGGCCCGTTGATGAAAAAGACTCCAGAGGAGATAGTCACAATTCTAGATGAGTTATCTAAAGATACATATCAGTGGCCCTCTGAGATTGCTAAAAGAAGAAGATCAAGTAGTGTTCACCAAGTTGATGCTAACATATCCGTGCAGGTACAAGTTGATGCGATGGCCGAAGAAATACGGAAGCTCACCTTAGCTTCAATAAAAAGTGAGCCTCATGCAGCTTGGGATATATGTGGAAGAGGACACCCTACTCATCAGGGCCAAGACTCAACTGAGGAAGTTAATGCTGTTGGGAATTATAACTTCAATGCAATGGGTCAAAAGCACCCCGGTTTCTCATGGAGTTCATCTGGGGGTACTGCAAATGCATGGAAACAAAACAATCCCAGATTTCAGGGACAAGGATCTCCTGGTTTTGTAAATCAGTCGAGGCTGCAGTTTCAGCCTAAACAACCAATTCAGTCAGGGTTAGAAGATCTAATGAAGTCCTTCATTGTCACGACAGATGAGAGATTAGATTCTCATGGTGCAGCTATCAAAGAACTTGGGACATGTTTGCGTAACTTGGAGAAACAAGTGGGACAAATTGCAACTATATTATTTGAGAGAATCCCAGGTACTCTACCAGCTGATAATGAAAAGAATTCTAAAGAAGCGGTAAATGTTGTGACCTTGAGAAGCAGACAAGTGTCCAAAGATCCAACTCCAATCTAAAAAGAGGTGATACCTAAAAAAGAAAGTGGGACGGAGTTAAAAATTGAAGATGATAAAAAGAAGAAAGGCAAGAAGGGAGTAGAGAAAAATAAGAAGGAGGAAACTTCGAGAAGGGAGGACTCTAATGAAGAGAGAAAGCACATGCCTGCTCTACCTTTTCTCAAAAAGCTCTATAGAGAAAAGCTGGACAAGTAGTTTGAGCGATTTCTAGATATGCTAAAACAGGTTAATGTAAACTTTCCATTCACAGAAGTTCTCTCACAAATGCCAGCTTATGCCAAATTCTTGAAGGAGATCCTGACAAAGAAGAGGAAGATAGAAGAGACCTCAGTGATCAAGCTCACAGAGCATTGCAGTTCAATCTTGCAAAACAAACTCCCACAAAGTATGGAGATCTAGGGAGTTTTACTATACCTTGCTCTTTAGGCACTCTTAACTTTGATAAATCTTTATGTGATTCTGGTGCCTCAGTTAATCTAATGCCATTGTCTATTTATAGGAAACTGGAGAATGAGATTGGAGAGATAAGGTCGGCGCCAATATCTTTGCAGCTGGCAGACCAAACAACTATAACACCCGAGGGAATAGTGGAAGATGTTTTGGTTCAGGTAGATAAGTTCGTATTTCCTATAGATTTCATAGGGATGAATATGGAGGAAAACAAGGAGGTGCCTCACATCCTAGGAAGACCATTTTTAGCAATGGGTAGAGCTATACTGGATATACACGATAGAAAACTCATGACTAGAGTGGATGAGGAGACTGTAAATTTTTAGATGAATGTAGCAACTAGGATGAAAAAGAGACACCGACTGCAAGTGTTGAGTGGAAAGTGAAAAGTTCAAAAGAGAAGGCTCTAGTTATTGAGAAGGATAAGTGTGGGGTGTACCCCAAGAAGGCTGAGATGAAGTTGTTTGCATGGATGTGTGCACTAGTTCGGGCGCGTGGAATGAAGCCCGACTTTGACTCAGACCCCGACTAGAGATTCAGGGAAGTTTTCTCTTCCTTATGCTTTCTAATTGTGTGTCATGGAAACATGCGACGACTTAAAGTGTGGGGCGGGGGGGGGGGGGATATTTTTATGTTGTATGTATATTAGTTTTGTGTTGCTTTTGTTAGGTTACTACTTGTAGTTAAAAAATCGGGAAAAAAAACATAAAAATTTGAAATTTTTTGACTTTTCTTGACGATGGATATCATTCGACGGATTTCTTAAGGGATTAAAGTCGAAAGAAAAAGACAAAAAGATTTTATTTTTTAGGTAGTGTAATAATTCCCCCTTAATTTGTCTTTGTGCAGCGGTTCTTTTCCAAGGGTTTTGCTTGAACCGGGTGTAGTTAGTTTTTATTTTTGTTAGGAGTAGGGAATCTGGTTCTATGATTTGAAATAGAATGCAATATCTCTTGACTTTACTATACCTTGAAAATAGTAAGTTCTTTAGCTGTGATGCTTAGGTTCAGTTTTTGACTTTTGTGTAAGTACCTTAAATTGTATGATCCTAACTTTGCTTAACTGCTTTGGCTAGAGTGTCTTGATGATTCCGATCCTGAGTGAGTTATATGCCATGTGTGTAGGAGTTTTGGTGTTATTCTGTACATTGCATTTGATGTCTAGAACTTGCCCGGTGTGTTTGCAAAGCGAAATAGTAGTTTCATTCAGTCTTGGAAGTGATATAAGCGTTTCTTTGTCGAGCTAGTTATATGCTATTACCCACCTAACTGTTATGTATCTTAGTTAAACCCTTTGAGCCTGTAATCATGTTTCCTTAGCAACCACATTACAAGCCATACCAATTTTTTTGAATTGAACATCTATTTGAACCTTGTACCTCTCATGAGCACTTGAATTTATTATGAACTTTGTAAAAGTTGAAGTGTGGGGTGTTGATTTGGCTTTTGAGTGGAACTAATGAAATAAGGAGAAAGGTGCACTGTTTTGAAAAAAGTAAGAGCCACTAGAATTAAAGAAAGTAAAAGATAGTTGTATTGTTGTGCAAATATTCCTTGATAGTGGTGACTCTTGATGCATTTTTCTTAAATAAGTGGGGAGTTAATGCATATTGATGTGAAGGTGGAGTTATGGTTTGACATAAGTGTGGGGTTTTGATAGGTAAATTGTATGTATTAAAAGTGCTTAGGGAGGTGTAGTCACTCTTATATCTAAAGGTATCCTACCCATCCCACAGCCTACATTACAACCAAATAAAGTCCTACTTGATCCTTGACTGAATGAGCTTAATTAGTAGAGTAGTACACTACGGGCAAGCCTATGGTCATCTTTTGTGGCATATGAATGCTGTTTATGAGAGTGAGTGAATTCTATCTATCTTTAGTTCCTAATTGTTCTTAACTTTTATTGTGTGTGGAACTACTCTCTATTGTTGTGTGAGGGCACTTGATTCATGAAGGAAAGTTAATGTCGTTGATCTCTATGTTAGAGTAAGTGAGCGGGTTGTGAATAATGCGTGGTACTTGTGAGTCAAATTTTGAGGCAAGGATGTTACACTATTGTGCTTAGTCTATTTTAAATATTCTTGGTGTAATGAGTTAAGAGAGTTATTTAATAAGGTCGTGTCTATATAAAGTGTAGTTTGATTGCTCGAGGACGAGCAATGGTTTAAGCGTGGGGTGTTGATGCTAGGCTATAATCTCATATTTTAGTTGCTTATTACACTCTAATTTACTGCACTTTGATTGAGTTTGAGCTTTAATCGCTAGTGTTGTGCATTAATTGTGTGTTTTATGCCTTGTAGGAGCGATTTCGAGTGATGTAAATGTTATGGAAAGAATTTGAGCTATTCGGAGCTTTAAAGTCCGAGTAAAAGCCGAAGGGATTAAGTCGGGATCGCGTTCGGGGGTCGAGAACCACATGTGGATATCAGAAAGTCAAGAAAATGCCAGACTCTTGAGAATTTTCCAAACCGGCGGCGCGTGGGGCGCCGTGCCTGTACATTTATGCTGCCTGTTGAAAGTTCAAGCTTCCTCATAAACTCCACTACCATACCGCGTGGCGTGCTTGTGCATTTTTTACAGAGTAACAATCCAATTTCGGCTAGGAGAAGGTGATTCGTGTGGGCTCGACCCTACTTAGTATAAATACGCGTAAAAACGTTATTTTTGGGACTTTTGACAAATCTTAGACCTAAGGAAGCTAAAGAGGAGGTGGAGAAGCAATAGCACAAGGAATTCATCATTCAATCCTCACTCAAGACATGAGTTTGGATCAATTTATTTTTTTATATACTTTATGCATATCTGTGATGAATTGCTCTGTATCTATGGAGTAGTTCTCTTAAGGGTTTGATGGATTTGGTGTATTGATCTTTTTTTGTGGATTATAACTCTAGTTTTATGTATTTAATCGTTTTGGGTGTTTTACTTGTTGAATCTATATTCACCAGTTCATGTAATCGAGAGAGGTATAACTTGTGATATCTTTGCATTATATTTGTTGGTTGAACTCATTAATTCTTCTTATTAATGGGAAGAGGCTAGTTGAATTGTTGATTAAACCTAGTTAGGAGGATAATCGAGAGAGGTTCTCCTAAATAGCAATCCACTACAAATTCTTGCATATCTTTACGTGCTTAAATTTGGTTCATCTTGTGAGGTTGAGACTTAATCGAGAGAGGAGTTTCTTCTAGATGGGTCAATTAATAATCAAGTTAATTTGAGAGACTCGCTTGAACATTAGAAGTGAATTATCTAAAGTTAGATCCCAAACAATTATCTTGCACTTATTCCATCAAACCCTGTTTTCTCCCATTGATAACCTTCTTTGCTTACTCATTGTTCCGATTGTCATTAGTCAGTAGTTAGAATCGTAGTTAATTTTAGCTTTTAGTCACATAAATCTAAGTTGTTGATCATTTGGATAGCAATCTAGCTACAAACTACGATAGTACTGTTTAACTCCAATCCATGTGGATACGACATTATATTTTACTATATTCGACTAGAGAGCATATTTAAATGTGTATTTTGCGCTGGTCATCGACTTCATTTGGCTCGGGAGCTAGCGTGAGTTCCTGTAATTGCTATGCCGCATGTTCCTTCCCTTTGTTACTGGAAACCGAGATCGTGTTCATCTCCTTGCCGCCAGTTGATCTCGTATTATTTGTTTAATTCCCTCTAGAGTTGGGAATTTCAGAAGTTGGTGGTATGTCGACGACAAAACCTTCATTTCGTGTAACCATGGTCTTCCAAGAATATTGTTATAGCTCATGTCGCCATCTACTACTTAAAATAGGGTTGTCTTCATTACCACTTCAGCATTTGTGGGCAACTGAATCTCCCCTCGGGTTGTCAAGCTCGCTAATTTGAACCTGACGAGGAGCTCTGTGGCTGGAATGATGCTCCCGGTTAGCTTGACTTGTTCCAACACTCCCTATCGGATAATATTGGCTGAACGCCTTGGGTCTACCTGTCACGACCCCAAACCCAACATGTTGTGATGGCGCATATCATGATACTAGGCAAGCCGACAACTCACAAATTCTAACACTTTCAAATGCAAAATATACCAAAACAGGTTTACATAAATGAAATCTTATAAAACCGGATGAAACGTCACAACTCAATACAGAAATTCCAAAAATTTGGGTATCACTGAGTACATGAGCAACTATACTGTAGCATAGTCTAATACACTGTCTAAGAAAGTAGAACAAAATAAGCAAAAACTGAGAGATAGAGGAGGAGAGTCAAGGTCTGCGGACGCCAAAGCAGCTACCTCGATAATCTCTGAACAGGTAAAATCTCCACGATCAACAACCACCGTGCTCGAAAATGCCTGCATCTGCACACGAGGTGCAGGGTGTAGTGTGAGTACAACCAACTCAATAAGTATCGCAAATAGCAAGGCAAGGTAAGAGAAGCTTAAATTATTGAGGATGCTAGTTGTTTCAGTGAAATTCTGCCTTTTTAGACCAGCACAACATAATATTTAAAACTAACTCATAAGGCTTTGTGAGAAGAATATCCGTGTGTGCATGTGCATTGTTTCTCAAATACCCTGCTTCAACAGTATTATGGCATGTAGCAAGTAAATCAGATAAATGATCAAGAAAATACAAGTTCCACACACTGCACGGACAACTCACGTGTTGCACGGACAACTCACGTGCTAACAATAGAACCTGCACGAACAACTCACGTGCGGCACGAACAACTCACGTGTTAATATTATCAATATATGGATCCGCACGGATAACTCACGTGCTGCACGTACAACTCACGTTCCAATAATATCAATACATGTATCCGCACGGATTACTCACGTGATGCACGGACAACACATGTGACAATAACATAACCTGCCCGGCATAGCCACAGGCCCCCAGTCCAAACAAATCATACAGAAACAATAAAGAAAGTATACAGATATATGACGAATGAAATAAGGTTCTCATATTCCTGGACTGGTGTAAGTGACATGCTAAAGTGTAGGCATGTGCAAAGTGTGCTATCGTAGCTCAAACCGGCATTTTCATCAATCAAAGGAATTTATCAAGTTCGTTCTGGGGTTAAACCTCTAAGTAGCCTCATCATGGCTCAATTAGATCACATAAACTGATACAACATGTGAGATATCAAAGCTTAAAGCTTAACAGTCATTTTTGGGCTTATAAGAGCCCGAGCACAACCCAAACATGAATATATAATCCCGGTGCTCGAACATGGGATTATCCCCACGCATGTGCGCACCCAAAAGCACGTGGCTATCACAACAATTCAGGAAACTGGTGCCTCAGACAAGTTTAAATACGATACTTACC